GTATCATTTTATCACAACACAAACACCAAAACAATTTTTTACATAAGTCGATTATTTACAGTTTTGCATACCTTCATTTTTTTTACCTTTTCGCAAAAAGGCGCAATTACAAATTTGCTAATATTTGTTATTTATTAACTCCATACAGTTTTAGATTTAGTCAGAAAATATATATTTTTCTGCACGGATACTGATTTTTGGTGTGTTTAACAATTGAATTGTGTATTTTTATCGGTTTAATATTAATTTGAGAAACATTTGCGCAATTATTACCCTCAGGGTTTTTTTTCATATATCTACTGCTAGCGAGCAGTAGATACAGTGGGGCAAAAAAGTATTTAGTCAGCCACCAATTGTCCAAGTTCTCCCACTTTAAAAAGATGAGAGAGGAGTGTAATTGGCATCATAGGTAGACCTCAACTATGAGAGACAAAATGAGAAAACGAATACATCACTGCTCTAGAGGAGATCTGCATGGAGGAATGGGCCAACATACCAGCAACAGTGTGTGCCAACCTTGTGAAGACGTACAGGACACGTTTGACCTCTGTCATTGCCAACAAAGGATATATAACAAAGTATTGAGATGACCTTTTGATATTGACCAAATACTTATTTTCCACCATAATTTGCAAATAAATTTGTTCCAAATCAGCCAATGTGATTTGTCTGGATTTGTTTTCTCATTTTGTCTCTCATAGTTGAGGTCTACCTATGATGCCAATCACAGGCCTCTCATCTTTTTAAGTGGGAGAACTTGCACAATTGGTGGCTGACTAAATACTTTTTTGCCCAACTGTATATGCAAAAAGTTTTTTGTTTTTTTAAAAAGCTTTAGAAGCGGTTTAAACTTACCCCTGTCTTCGCAGTGCACTCCCGTCCGAAAATCCAAAAATGCTCGGGCATTCATCTTAGGGCGGGTGCATGCGCAGTTCAGATTTTCAGCCGGAAGAACGAGGAGATTCGCAAGGTAAGGCTATGGACGCGTGCACCTGCATGCAGACACCGTGGGACAGGAAGTGCCAGCAAGGACAGAGGAGTCAGCGCTGGATCAAAGACCCGCAGCAGCGCTGGAGAGAAGGCTGAAAAGGACAGAAAAGAAGAGGAAGATCAGATTAAGAGACATGATTTAAGGTAAGTGCTTTAATTAACATTGGGGAGGGATAAAAACATTAGACTTTAATGTTTAAGACATTACAGTGTGGTTAGCTGTACACCCTCTAACATTTTTGCTGAGCAGCATGTACCTGGACACATTTAGGCCTATGTGTAAAGGCATGTTACGCACACACACACACACACACACCAATAGCTTAATGTTATCAGAAAAAGTAAAATAGATATGGAACAATTTTGTTCAAGCTGTCCAATCAATATGCCTAACCCCTTCGGTGTTCCAGGTGGTGGTGGAGGGAGGAAGGTACATATTAACCCCTTCATGACTGAGGCCCTTTTTTCAATTTTTGCACCCATGTTGTATTCCACATTTTAGGCCTGAAAATGACGTAAAACCCCCCAACATTATATATTTTCTGAATGCCAAGACCCTATAGAATAAAATGGTGGTAGTTGAAAATTTTTATGTTGCGCAATATTAGCGCAACTCCTTATTAAACCCAAGCTGGTGGTATTCTGCATTGTGCTGTATAATGTACAATTGCTGGGTTTTGTAGTCCTCTATAGCCGATGCCATTCTGCATTCATTCCTGTATAATTTTACACTTTTCATTTCACTATATTGCGCACCACACTTTTTTTTTTTCTTCTTCTTTTTTTACTTCCACCGCTCCAAGCTTGCTCCTGTGATGGACTGCAATCTCAATACAAACCAGTAGTCCCATCACTGGAGCCATTTGTTAAAATGTATTTTATTTTTTAACCGATTTTTCGAACTTAATAATCGGCTAACCGATTTTGAAAATAATCGTTAGCTGCAGCTCTACTTATATTTCTTGGGTAATTAGAAATCCCAGTGCTCTCCAACTGCTGCATCCACAAAAAGCCAACTCATGATAACACTCTGTTCCTCAATGGATTCATAAATACTTTAGAAATCCACCTAAAACTTTACTTATATTCAAATTGGAGGTCATGAAGGCACAGACTATTATGGGAGAATCTCTCCATTGGAAAACCCAGGTTTTGTATTAAAGTAGGTCATTGCTTACATATATAACATCAAATGCACTGTAAGAATTTCATAGGGTTTCTGACTTCAAACCTTTCACAATGCTTTACTTATTGTTTTCTGCTGCCCCTGCCCACGGGGGCTATTGGTTTAGTTCTGTTTTATATAACACCAGAGAAGTAACTTTGCAGTTTATAAAAGACCCAGGGAATGATGGACTTGTAGAGGAATATCTAAAACATCTATATTTAATATTGTCCCCCTGACCAAAAGGGACTTGGGGACCCCATGTGAATTTTTTTATACTCGTAGTTCTTTAAAATATAAAAAGTATTGTAGGTTTTACTAAAATAATGATCAATTATGGTGTTATGTGATACAGTACATTTACCTTCCTAGAACCTATGCCATCAGAAGGATAAGAGATGCTTTCAGAGAAAAGAAGAACATTGATGATTTTCATGAAGTACAAACCCTAGTTCACCAGGCTAAAGAAAACTTGGATGTCATTCGACGACAGGTAAGACTTAAGCATTTTTCACACTCACTCTAGGTTTAACAGACCAGTCACAGATTTACAAAGAAGTTCCCCAACAGTATCCTTCAATTTTAATTTTGTATTTTTTTTAGTTATCAGAATGTTTAAGTCCCATATAACAAACAAAAATGCACCTACTGAAGTGTGATTGACTGGCTTCCAGTACCAAGAATTGGTATGGAACAACTAGTGCAAGGGAGCCAGTGTGACAAAATGCAAAACCAGAATACTGTTATTCGCTTGTCATCTGTTTACAGTCAGTTCCAGAATGAATTAAGATTTAACATAGTTTTTTTTTGTGCTTGGTTCCTCAGCAGTTGAGAATTTACAGGATCAAACACTGAGTTACTAAAATAAAACATAAAACTAAATATTTTGAATGGGTCTTAACGGCTTTTGTAGACTGGTAAATGCATCGTGCTTTCGGCTGCTTTTAGGTTGCATTTGAGATTGGTTTGAGGCCCTTTAGAGTTCCTTCTAAGATTATACATGGGTGCATTTGACCTGTATCGCTCGGCTGTAGATCCTCAAATCATCTCTGAATTCATGCTGACACTGTCCTTCCATCTGGAGGTTGGCTACTTTGGGTCCCCATGGTCCCTGTGTGTGTTCTAAAGTAACTGCTCCATGCTCCCTCCCGTGATGGACTACAATCTCACGATTAGTTTACTCATTTTGTATTTAGATGGTAGATTGCAGTCCATTACGGTAGTAAGCCTGAATCGGTGGCTACTTTAAAACACAAACAGAAACCATTGGTAACCGCCCTCCAGAAGGAAAGACAGTGTCATCACCAATTCAAAGATGATTTGGGTGTTTACAGCTAAGTGATACACAAATAAACTACATTATAGTTTAATAGTTGGGGTACTTGAATGCATTTTTAAGATATAACTCCTGAGTTTAGTGTCACTTTAAGAGCCTTTTTGTTGCTACCTATGGGGGAATTTATTTTGCTTTTCTCAGTGACACCCATCACCAGGAAAGAAATTCCCGGTACACGGACACCTTTTCTTACTCTACTATATAAGAGGTCTTTAATTGGTGTCTTTGGATGTGAAAATCTGTCCAATGGGGGCATTTAATATTTATGTATATTGACTAACACCTTTTAGTGCTCAACATCATATCATATTTTTCTTCAGCGGTGGCAGTTTCTTAAATAGCAGCTGCCAAACATTGACTACACACAGAGGTGTGCTTCTTGCCATTTACAATGGTGAGAAAATACTACATCATATTTACTTTTTAAATAAAGCTGATTTAGAAGTATCTCATACGATTTTACACTGCATTGCAATTACCGTATTTCGCGCTCTGTAAAGCGCTCCAGACGATAGGACGCAAGGCTTCTGTGACAGAAATTCTGTGACAGAAGCTGCAGTTAGTGACTGCTGAGACAGGTGGTGTTGTCTCAGTAATCACACATAGCAGACGAAGAACGACCTTCGTCTGCTCAAGGGGCTCTATGGTGAGCCCTTATGGGGGACCGTGGTCACTGTCCCCCAGAGGAGCGGGGGTCCCCGAAAACCACGGTGGGGGGCCGACACGATCGCCACCGCCGCTCGATTTAATACAAGTAGGGATGCACAGATACTTTTTGAGTACCAGTGCCGATACTTGCCATTTTCATGAGAACTACAAGGGTTGCAGACCTGGCTCTGGCACTCCCACTATTGTCCTGAAATCATTAGTCTGTATTGTTTTAGAAAAACTGTCACCTTGACAATAAACAAAAATGTATCAGTACTCGTACTTGTAAGTACTCAGCAAGTACCAGTACTCGTACTCGCAAAACTGGTATCTGTGCATCACTTTATTTATAAAAACAAAATCGTACATTAAAACAGAGATGTACAAATCCCAGGAGCTCCGTGTGCTCCTTACAAATGACAACTGCCTCCTAATTTTTGAATTTTTCTCTAGTCTAGTCTTTGAGCTCAAAAGTATCGGTACATGTACTCGTACTTGTACCGAGTACTGTACTTGGTATCTGTGCAACCCTAAATACAAGTGATCTAATTAGATCACTTGTATTAAACGAGCAGCGGCTGTTGCACTGTACATTCAGCTCTGCTCATCAGGAGCAGGGCTTAATGTACAAAAAACTACTCGCCTGGCGCCCGAAACTGCATGTCCCGGGCGTCGGGCGATAGGTATTTGCGCCATAAGACGCAGGCACATTTTCCCCCTCTCCTTTTGGGGGGGAAAATTGCGTCTTATGGAGCGAAAAATACGGTAATTTAAATTCTTTTATAGGAATTTATATATTTGGATGCCTATTTTCTTTATGGCTTAAAAAGTGAAAGGTCTCCAATAACTAACCATCTTAAAGTTATATTGTTTTTTATTTTTTTAACAAGTTGACTTTCTGCAGCATTAATAACCTTTTGTGTTTTATTAATTGTTTTATAGAGAGCTTGTTTTGGAACCTTAGGATGGTATGCAGAGCAATGCATTATTAATCCGAATGCTTAAAAATAACATGGTCAAGTCTGAACATGAGTCATTTGCTGAGTTTGTACTGCACAGTTAGCTTGCAGTTCTAAACTGAGTTGCAGAAAGAGCTAGAAACAGCTATTTAATTGAATCCAAGTTGTTAAAGGACCAGGGATAGAAACACTATTTTAATTGTTGCCTTATTATTTGCTTATGCATTAGTGCACAGGGATACTGGTAAGGGTCCTGTTCGGAAAGTTGGCCTCCATTGGTGTCATCATTGTGTCACAGGGATGCCCTCTTACAAGGGTAACACCTTGCCAGGTGTTATCTAGATGCCAAGCTTGCATTAACAAGCCTCTACCAGGTATAGCTCCTTCATCTTGCTTATACTCATGTGCCGAAATGCTTATTATCAGGGCTTGAAAAATTTGATAGTGTGTCATAGAGCTGCAGCTAACGATTATTTTCAAAATCGATTAGTTAGCCGATTGTTAAGTTCGATTAATCGGTTAATCGGATAAAATATATTTTTTAAAATAGCTCCAGTGATGGGACTACTAGTTTTGTATTGAGATTGTAGTCCATCACAGGAGCAAGCTTGGAGCGGTGGAAGTAAAAAAGGAAAAAAAAAAAAGTGTGGTGTACAATATAGTGAAATGAAAAGTGTAAAATTATAGAGCAATGAATGCAGAATGGCACCGGCTATAGAGGACTACAAAACCGAGCAATAGTACATTATACCACACAATGCAGAATACCACCAGCTATAGAGGAATACAACAAATCCCAGCAATGGTACATTATAGCTGGTCGGTATTCTAGTCCTGGTATACTATTGCTGGGTTTTCTAGTCCTATATAACTAGTGGTATTCCGCATTGCACCACTGTATAATGTATTATTGCTGGAATTTGTAGTCCTCTATACAGCGCAATGCAGAAAACCACCAGCTATATAGAAATACAACAAATCCCAGCAATACATTATACATACAGTGTATGATGTATTGCTGGGATTTGTAGTCCTCTATAGCTGATGGTGTAATATACAGCACAATGTACCATCAGCTACAGAGGAATACAAATCCCAGCAATACATTATAGAGCACCATGTGGGGGAAAGTGCAGGCTTACCTGAGCAGTCTTCCAGCAACTTGCTTCTGAGATCGGGCCTGTGTATCGGCAGCTGTCATCCCCCCATACCTGCTCCTCCTTACTTCTCCCCGGGTACCTGTGCCGATCGGTGAGGAGGTGCGGCGTGTGGATCGTGGATGCGGGCGGGTCTGGCAGCAGCGAGCATGAGGTGGGGAGGAGGTGCAGCGTGTGGGGATCTGTGAACAGGGCCAACTAATTGGAAGCTGATTGATCGATGATTTAAAAAGTTGACAACTTTTTCAATAATCGATTATGTCGATTAGTTGTTGCAGCCCTAGTGTCTCACCAGTCAGTCAAAAATGTCACCAGTCAGCATGACCGGACTGTAGCCTTGCAATTTATGTTAAAAAAGTTTGGGCACAGATAGAGCTTTCTTTTGGAGGTATATAATCACCGCGGGGGGGGGGGGGATTATAATAAAATAATAATAATTTTAAAAAGTACCATAAATGTAGAAAAAAAACTAAAAGTTTCCCTACGTTATGTTATAAAACATCTATTCTTACCCATATTTTTAGTAAAACATAAAAGACGGGGTCACGTCAGGTAAATAAACACCAAACATGTCAAGCATTAAAATTGTGTGCGCCCGCAAAATCGTAAAAAAGCCCATAGGCGATGATTAAAACGCTTTTATTGCTCATCAGTTTAGTGTTATCAGTGATTAACCCTAAAATTATTGCTCTCACTCCGACGTTTGCGGTGATATGTAACATGTGCGGCACAATAGGCGCAATCGTCGTTTTCTCACCCGACGCATATCTGCGTGTGTATGTGTAAAAAAATGTTTTGCTTTTTTTCATTTTTTTTATGCTTCTTTATTTTTTTTATGAGTCTTTAATTTTTGTATTACTTTTTTTTTTACACACAACTTTATTGCTATTACATGGGGGGATAAGAAGCCCCTATGTGATAGCCAATTTACATGACAGGTCATCTTTATGGAGGCATCAGGGGTCTCCAAGACCCCTAATGTCACCTAGGGACCCCCAGAGAAGCTGATGAAGCAGAGATCTGCTTCATCGGCTTCTGTAGCTGGAGAGTGACACTGAATGCAGGAAGTGATGTAGTATACATCACTTCCTGCATTCGGGGACTGAGAGGAAATCAAAGGGAGTTCGTATACTGAACTCCCTTTGATCTCCTGTCACAGAGCCGTGCCGGTCCCGGCCGCATCGAGCACAGCGGATCTCGGGACCGGCAGTGACAGCTGCTAATACATGCGATCGAGCGTCTCTAGAGACGCCCGATCACTTGGATGTAAAGCTCCTGGCCGGCCGTGTAATTACAACGGCCGGCTGGGAAGCTGCTCGTCGTGCTCCACTGTCCTCTCGTCACAGACGAGTGGATTTTTCAAGCCCTGCTCATAGTAGATCTACACCACTTA